GTATAAAAGTAGATACTAGTACACAATTAGTAGAGGTTCATTCATGATCTACAATAGATCATGGTCCTTCTTCGACGAGACAAGAAGTATGAATGAACGTAATCAATTTTATCATGAAAACAAATATTTTTCTGTAGTTTAGTAAATATTTTCCATAAGAATATAATTTTTTATGTCTAGATTATTCACAATTCTTTACATGGAATTGCAATCTTTCGAAATAAACTTGTTTATTTAATATTTCATTTGATTAAATTTTTCAAAGTTCTTGTATTTTGTTTACAAATAAAATAATTGGGAATATAAGTAAACATTCTTACATATTTTGCTGACCAAACATTTTAAAAGATTCTTTATTACTTAGAATCTTAATTATTAATACTAATAATAATAATAATAATGAATAATATGTTAATTTAAAATTAAAATTAACAAGCTATTATTTGTTTGCTCGGAACAAGTAAACAACTAATAATCAAAATACATTTCGGAGTAAAATAAAAATTTCAGTAAATTTTTATTTGCTGAAATCATTGAGCTATTTATAAGTTAATATTAAAAATAACTATCTGCATACCGCAAATAAAAATAACTAATTCTTTCAACTTATAATATCTGATATAATCACAATGTCATTTAGCGAAAGTCATGAAAGAATCATCGGCATAAAAATTACTGGAATTTTCTAGGTTCAGGCAGTTTTTATTATTTTTTCACTTATTGACCTCACGCGCATTAGATCAGAACTTATCGCAATAATTTTTTGCAATAGTAATAAAATCTATAGAAACTAGAGAAAACATCAAGAAAATAATGATTGATAAATCATTTATCCTGGTTACAATGTAGTTAGAGATATCTTAATAGATTAATGTATTGATCGACATCAATTTCAGGACTGATACTGGATTCAAATTTTATAGTAAAAAATTGTCTGATGACATAATTTTTCCTGTTTATTCGTTGTAATCACATCATTTGTCACATTCCATCGTTACCAAATTATATAGTTTCTCCCTCCCTACTAATAGATTTCCCTATCACCAGCAGCGTCTTCACTATATCTTTTAGCGCACTAACCAAAAGCAAATAAGTCCAAAGAAAGGCAAAGCCAGCTTCAGTAGGACCGAAGAAACTTGACCGAAACTAAGTGCTTTCATACTTACGAAACCTCTTCATATAATATATTGACAGCTTCATCACAGTACATTCATTCCTATCAGTCACATGTTCTAAAGATCAGAATTTCTTCAGTTAATGCAGCAGATTTTAATTCATAATAAAATTTAAAAATAAAACATAAACAAAAATTACTCAGTTTTTTTAATAAAAATCTTTATTTAATATCTGATTGGATTTGTAATATTGTTCATCAAAATGGAGAGAGTTATAATGCTGTAAAAACTGACGCAGGCTGTGACAAAAATATTTAAATTTTCAAAATAAAAATTAATAATGATTCCAAGAGCTCTTTATGCCTCATTGATCTTGATAAATATTGTTATATTCAATGTTTTTGGAGTTGTGAAAACTGCACCGCTAGTTAAAAGGGAAATACGGTTGTGCTCAACAGATTTAAGTGATGCACTTTCACATATATGTAGTAAACGTGGATTTAATGAACCATCTGCAAACTCTGGTGATATTCTTTCACGTGGAAAACGTGGAATTGTAGAAGAGTGTTGTCATCAACCGTGTACTTATGAAATCTTAGAGCAGTATTGCCAATAATTGTAAATATTACCAAAGCATCATTAGCACATATTGAGAACAAAAATCATATCATGGTAATTATCTTTTTTTTACTTTTCAATGTCTTCCATTTATTAATGTTTTAATGTGAATTGAGACTAAATTTGATATAAATTTTCTTTATTATTGTTGGATAAATAATTGGTCCAAAATAAATTAAATTTATATTTAGATTCAAATAAAGTTATAATAAGAATAAAATTCTCACGAATTGAGTTACAAAAAAAATAAATTAAAAACTGTCAATGAACTATGCAGTGAACTGTAATTATCAAGTGTTAAATCGTTGAGTTCACGGGTTGACACAACTAACAGTATATTTTTTTCTAGGGAGCACTAAACTCATATATTACAAATTTATCAAAAATATGAATAGTATAAAAAGAGTGACATTGGACTACTAAAAGATATATCTGATTAATTGATTTTGGACGTTATTTTAATTCAAACTAACGTTACAAAAATTGATAGTCTCGTTTTTTTTTTCTCTTGTGTGATTTGGAGTTTTTTTGTGATAATGATATTGAAGTCATAAATAACATAACTTACATTCGCAAATTGAGTTAATTATATATTTTTTGAATAGCGTAGATTGACAGATTTATCTTATTTCTAAAAACAGAAATAAATTTTGTGAAATTTTATCAAGAAAAAAATACTTTAGCTTATTTATACGTGACTTCATCTTATTAATATTTATTATTTTTTTTTTTTGTTTTACAGATTAATCTTCATCATAGAGAACAATACCTTTTACATTAATTGCTATTCTTCACCGACAAACAGTACAAATGAATCATTGTTGCAGTTATGTTGAAAAATTTTCAAAATAAATATGATAATTTGAAAATTTTAAATATATAGAAAATTTATTCATTGAAGGTAATCATTATAATCAATCTTTTACATAGTTTTAATTAAATAATTATAATACCACTGAGAATATTCATTAAAAAGATATAAATTTTTATTTTTTAGGCATGTCCCATTAATTAAACAAACAAATAGGAGGTATATTTTAACTCATCCAAGTCTGAAATAATTATAATTAGTTATAATCATCGATTAACTGACAAATGATGTATAATTTATTAATTAGTAACATTAATATGTTGTTATGAATAGTAAAAATATTCACATGATATAATGAAAAATGAAATATTCATATGATGTCTTTCTTCATCAATGAAACTCACCAAGTTGATAAATTATTGTCCTAGTAAATTATATTAGAATAAAAATAGTGGTAGATCAATGGCTATATTATATAAGCTTATTTATATTTTTACTAGCAAGATATACGAGAGAGTTGTCGGAATTAAGCATCATTTCTTTTTGTAACTGTATTAGATTGCATTTGAGTATTGAGTTTGGTGTTAACATCCCTACATAGTTTTATTGAAGATGATCTCATCTATACTTAAAACTTTCGTATCAATAAAAAGTTTACGAACATGTATTTTCATTGTAATAAATCTACTATTATACTCCGAAATTATTTTTCATTTAAATTACAAATACCATTTATTTTAACTTGTTCATTATGCTAACTAGTTGGCTAAGTTAATGAAATTAATTGCAGAATAGCACTTCAAATAATCAATTAAGTATTCTTTGTTATTTTAATGTTGTGAATATTGATTTCCAAACATTATTATGTTCATATAGGAAGTATGCATAAAGTTTAACATATATTTAATATTAAACTAATTCAAAAACACAATTTTTCTCATGAAGATGAATTCATAAAGAAATTGCCATTATATGCCACCTACTGAGTAGCAATAAAAATACATTTAAAAGATGTATTCTTTAAAATTCTTATTGACTCACTATGCTTACATTTTTACTCAAATGCATGGAAACATTCAATAAATCTACTTTATTTTTTAGACAGAATTGGCTTTACTGTGATCTTCGTAGATATACACAATTTTTTATTTATTCCTACTTTTGATTCAAAGTTTAATGAAATCAAATTCCAAGCACAGAAGTGATGGATTGAATATATATTTTATTTCTTAGTTAAAAGAGTGAACTGGTCACTTTGAGATACAAGTTAGCTCTGCTTTCGTTACAAATTGCTACTTACAATGTAAACTTATTTTTAAGGGTAGAAGGGGTATCTGGTGAAGGAAGGTAGAGATGATACTCTCTAAAATTGAATTAATGAAAACTACTACTAATCAGTGAATATTCACTGATTGCCAGTACCAATCCAATGACTGATTCTTTGAGTGATTGGATTGGCACTGGATATCAGTGAATATTCATTGATTCACAGTAGTTTTCACTGATTCAGTTTAAAAGAGTAGATAAGGATTTTTTTTCATCAGTTTCAGAAGATAGGTAGACTTGATTAGGAACTTTATTTGTGATGAGTAAGAGTGGAAAAAGGTGTTAGTTAGTAAATAACAATATGCCCTTTGAAATGTGCAAGATGTTAGCTTAGGATATTTTTTATAAATATTGTTACTTTAACTAAAATTCCGAGATTATTACAAAAGTAACGAACTTTTCGAGCAGAAGTTCAAGAACTTCGTGTTATATCAGTGATATAACAATTTTAAAAATATTATAAAATTATATCTCACTCTTAGTTAAATTATTATCCATATTAGAATGGTTAAACCCAGTAAATTATTTTTAAACATAAAAAAAGGTGAATTAATTAATTTAAGTACTCTAGTAACCAAACCAACGTAAGACTGACGTCAGATCTGAATATTTTGTTTTACCTTAGTCATTTACGTGTGTTTCTGCCATTTTTTTGAAGCAGATAGACGTAAGATTATCGTCAGAAATTAGCAAGTTCCTTTATATGTATTTTTTTTATCTTGTTTTGTATAAGACGAAAATTATTCAATATTTAATGATAAAATAATATAATTCATCAAATTGTTTTTTCATATAAACACTGTAAATTAAATTGTAATTTTGCATACTTATGAATTATTGTTATTCGGTTATACGTAATATCAATGCAAACTAATAGTACTTGATAACAAAATAATCTTTTCGATTTTTATGGAGGTAATACTGAAATTTCGAAAAAAAAAAAATAAATTCTATATTGTAGTATATGTCTATTTTTGTAATTACAGAGAGAAGACTCCTCTCTGATAATTATAAGTTATAAATACTTGAAACGTATTTTAAAACTATGAGAAGTATAATAAACTGCCACCTGTGAAGTAAAAATGTAATGATGCGCATGCGCAAATGTTAAGCAGAAAAGCAATAACCCAAAGCCAAGCATAGCGTTTCTGTCTTTCTGAATAGTCCTCAAATATTATTATCATATATGGTACTTTTTCTCGTTTTTAGTAGTGTATAATTCCATTAATAATTGGTTTTTTTTAATATTTTCGGGGTGTTGTTGACATTAAAAGCTCGTATGTTTGATTACATTAGTTTGAACTATTAAATATTTATTTTTAGGACTATAATAGAGAACCAATATTGTAAAATATAGTGATAATATGATAAAAACAATTTATTACGATCAAAATTATATCTCAAAAAAATAATTACAATAATTTATATATTATTTAATTATTCTAAAATAATATTTTTCTTGAATACTCCAATAATGTAATAGTTGAACGCACGGATCAATTCTACGTACTAAAATCCTGAAATTACTCAACACTTCTCGTTTAATCTTTAGTGTGATAGTGGATTTAAAAATGGCTATTTTTCGACTAAAAATTTTGTCTGCATTATCAATCCGTTTTTGATAATGTAAAAATGTCATTTTTGCAATATAATGGTGAGTAAAAAACTCTTATTATCATTTATTTTCATCAATAGTGTATGAGAGAGAACTCTAACCATAAAATTATTCATGCTCCATAAATGACGTTGAATCCATTTAAATTACAAAGCAATCCTGAACAATAAATTCATAAAATCATTTAAAAAAGGATATTTTTCTGATTTTAGTGAATATTTTTTAATGAGACTGACAACGTTTACAAGTAATAACAATGGAGAGTCCTGTTAATAGTGAAAATTCAGTATCTACAACCAAAGAGCCAGTGAAAGCAGAAGATCGAACTTCATCAAATTCTGGTGACAGAAGCGATGAAGCATCTTCGCCGCCGCCAAATTGTAGCATATGCTTGGGAAAACTTGTGAATACATCTTTTACTGACAGCTGTTTACATCAATTTTGTTTTACATGTCTTCTGCAATGGTCTAGAATAAAAACTGAATGTCCATTATGTAAACAAACATTTAAATCAATTATCCACAATGTAAGATCAGAAGAAGACTACGATCAGTATCATGTGCCTAGAGAGTCAACTCAAGCAACAGCAACAACAACGAGACTTAACCTTAGCCTTGCTTTCAGTCCAGCTTCCATGGCAGAAACAATCCGGAGATTTTCTTATCGGTATGAGCTAGTTGATTTATTTAAAAATTTTTTTATATAATAATAATATTAACTAATTTTTTTTATTTTATTTCATGTAGAACGACATTAACACCTAATCGTCGGTATGGAACTCTCTCTGGAGGATCTCTATGGATTGCTGCTCAACACGCTCGTCAAGAACAAGTACCCAATAATTCTGTTTTGTCTGTTTCTCATGAAGAACGACGATATCGTCGTAATATTTACCGAACTGGTGTTTGGTCTGATCCTATACCTGATATACATTCTCGTTTCCGTGAATGTAGTGCAGAATATTATAGGTATAGCATACGATATCAACTTATTCAAGTTAGAAAAAATTTGTTCTTTAAGTTCTCGGTATCTTACTTAAGTTTATATTTTTCAGGAGATTCCCCCAAGAAATAGATCGTCTAGTTCCTTGGATAAATCGTGATTTACAAACACTATTTAACGAAAACCACACGCAAATTGCTTACGTGCTAGAAGTAATTACGAGCTCTCTGACTAGATATGATATGCGTAGTCCAGAGTTTCGTAATGTACTTCGTCCCTATTTTGGTATAAATACGGATCACTTTATTCATGAGCTTATGAATTATGCTCGCACTGATTTAAATATTACGGCTTATGATGATCTTATTACTTTTCTACATCATCCTAATCGTGGTTTGCATCTCATTATTATCTAATTACTCAACTCAAAAAATAATTTTATGTTGAATTTTTGATTTATCTAACATTTTTTTTAGGTTTATCCGGTGCTTATTGGTATCAAGTACAATCACAATCATCTAGTAGTAATAGTACTAGTTCAACATCTGATGACTCTGATGTCCGAGTTGTTGATCACATCGATGCAGTTGAAACAGAACCGCCTTCAGTTGGTCCTCACTTATTGAGTGTTCCAGGTAAAGCATACGATATCTAAATAAAGATGTTCTATTTATTAGCAGAACTTTATTACTAAAAAATAAATTTTTCTTTATTACTAGGACCTAGTACAGTGAGCCAAACATTCCGCATAGAGACACCAGAAGATAGTCCCTGTGTTCTTACAATTTCTTCAAGTTCCTCTGAATCAGACTGTGAAATAATAGGCTATGTAAAACCACGTCATGAAAGAACTCCAGAAATAATTGAACTTTTATCTTCCGATGGAGAAAATGAAGCAAGTAGAGCTATTGTACCTGTAGTAGAGACGTAAGTATATTTTAAAAGCTCCTATTAATAAGAATGTAGTAGTATTTATGATAAATAATATTTATTTAGTCCTAGATCACCATCACCAATGCCATCAACGAGTCATCCAAGTACTTCATATAATAATGAACGACGAGGTTACAATCCGAACTCAAATTATTATTCAACCCTAAGTGAAACATCGAGCGATAATAGTGATAGTGATTCAGACAGTGATTACAGTCAAGAAAGAAAGCAAAGTAGCCGTCGAAAAAAGCGTTCATCTAAAAGTAATCGTAAAGTTGCGCATAAACCTTCATCAAAAAAGAGAGAAATTTCAAAAAAACGTATTAGATATAGTTTTAGCTCGTCTGATAGCAATGGAGAGATTAAAAAACGAAAAACTACAAAAAGTGCTCGAGAGAAATTGGATATTACGAAGTAGTTCTGAAGATGATAGTGATGCAGAAAATGTTTCAAGAAAACAAAAGGTTAAGGATGATAGTGCTAAAATGCTAAGTGTACGAGTTAGGAAAGATCTTATGAATGAACCTAAAAAACATACGAAATTAATAATATATGACAGTACCACTTCCAGCTACAGTAGTAGTGATAGCAGCAGCGATTCAACAAGCAGCAGCACAAGTTATAGAAGCAGTAGCAGTAGCTCTAGATTCAAAAAGTTACAAAAAAAATTTGTTTCTCGACAACTAAAGAATAAAACACACAGACAAAATCATGCAGTCAATCATTCAGATGATAATAGTGTTAGATCGTCGAGATCTAGATTAAAATCTACCGTGATAAAAATTAATTCAACAGTATTGCGAAAGGATTCCAATAAAAAAGAATGGTATGTTGATAAGAAAGATTCGTCGCGTAGCAGAAGTCGGAGTAGATCTTCATGTAATCTGGAAAGCGATGATAATGTACAACGTCATGATAGTATAATTAAACATCGTGAAAAAAGAACAGCACAGAAAATTGCTAATGAAAAAATAAAAACTGAGAGCTTGTATTTTATGACTGACTCAGCCAATGATGACGAATCACAGAGATCCAATAGCCAATGCAGTGTATATTCTGAACGATCAAGATCCGATAAACATAAAAATAAAATTAGTGCAAAGACAGCTAAGTCGCGAAAAAGTAAATCACGCAAAAAAAGTAGTAAAATTTTGAAAGATAAACAGAAGAGGTCACGAACCAAATCTAAACGAGACAAACGACGTAAAAATAGTTCATCATCCTCAAGTTGTTTATAAGTGATTATACATAAACAATAATGTTTAATTATAATTCCTCATTTGTTTATAATTTTTTAATTGCATCTTGATATACCTTTATTAATATCACTGTACAAAGCAATTTGTTATTATGTATAACAACTGATAATATTACTAATAATTATGTTTCATATTACAAAAAAATTCATTGTTTTTCATTTACGTTTAAATACATTTGCAAAATAATACAAAAATGAATTTTCAATATATCAATAAATACATTTATTTAAATTGGAGGAAAATCCATAAGATTCTGGTCGTTTGAATTTGTGTGACTTTCAGCAGAATGTGTTTTTTTCTTTATAACATGAATTTTCTTATTCGATAAACAAACGATGTAACAATGGTTTGGATATTTAATTAATATTTTGTTGAAAGATTTATTATTTGATGTTTTATCATCTATTTTACTTTCTAAAGTCACCAGACTCATAATAACATTTGCGACTCTTTCATTATTTTCTAGTTCACCTCCAGACTGCAAAAAATACAAATTTTAACTTCAAAAAAACATGTTAAAAAATTTGTGAACGATGGAATTATTCGTTTCATAATAAATCATAAAAACGTAATGTTCATCACTTAAAATATTGTAAAACATTAATAGTTACTGCTAATACTGCTCCATCCCCTGTCAAAACTAAGTATCCAATTTGATCGGGTATTCGTTCCATTAATAACATTTTGTCTTGTTTAAACAAGAATGATTATCAATATATCACTTCGATAACAGTAGTTAAAAAGGCAAAACGAGACAACACGTTTCCAACAGGTTTTTACATTTAAGAATAAATGTTTTAAATTAATCTGATACAAAATATGGAGAGATAAAAAAAATTCAACTTTTACAGAAATTTCTATCAAAAAATAACAAAGATAAATCGATTCTTATGAAACCTTCGGCTATCAATAGTAATGGCGGCACAAACAGCTGTCGAAAATAAATAAATCGGAGTAAAGTCGAAGAATACAATCGAACATAGAACATGG